CATGTAAATTATTTTTAGATACCTTTTCCTTGATGTTTTGAATGGATGTTTTTCTTCAGGTATTTGAGCTCTTACTGATGCGTTAGGGTTTCTACAGTAGTGAATCTAGCAGTGTCACACTGTTTCTGCTGGCTCAAGTATGAAGATTTCTGATTGAAACGATCCTTGCTTGCTTAAGGAGTGATCTTGACTTTGCTAAGTTTTATTCTTATCAGTGTTAATTTGTATAAATGAATGAATTTTGAAATACTCAATGCTTTCTCAGTTTTATGAAGAAATGGCAGGTGTGGTTTGTAATTGTTTTTGGTTATTACTACATTTCCTAAATTTAAATTGTTGCAGTGTTAAAATGGAAAAATAGTGTGGTTTAGTGTGGAAGCATTCTCCTTTAGTTGTTAGCCGGGCATACAGAGATAAAGAGATCTGAGGGAATGGAGTTGGTTTTCTTCAGTCCTAAAGGTCTGATGTAATCGTAGTCCCATACATTGTTCTCGCGAGTGTGCTTGCAGGCTCCCGAGCTGTTGCGGTTGCTGTGTTCACTAGAAGAGGAGCTTCAGAGCTGTACACCCTTCTGAGCATTGTAAGTTTGCACAAATACCCGGATATGGGCTAACGGGCTTGGCTTGTTGTCCATTTTACTGTAGATCGTTGGGAGATTTTTTTTTCCCTTTTCCCTTCCTCCTCCTCATTTCTCCACCTCTTCCTCTTCCCTTTCTGTTTCTTTCTGTTCCTCTTTCCTTTTCTCTTCCTCCTCATCTGCTTTTTTAAATTCTGGAGGCTCTAGGCTCAGTTAAATCCTTTAATGTGGCAGACAGCCAAATTTCCAATAGGCCCAAACTGAGCATGCTGCTGTTGCTTAGCAACTACTTGTGAAGTCTTTGTCTATGACTGAATTATAAATAGGGTTATGAACAGAAGTGCAATCTCAAATGGGATTGGAAAGAAAGTCATACTCTGTGATTTGAGGGTTTAAAGAATTTTTTAAATGTAGTCTTTAGAAATCTGGCTTATAAAAATTAAGCTTATCAGGAAGACAATAAAGGCTTTATTATAACTTCATGTCTGTAGTTAAACATTTAAAAACTTTTTTAAAAAAGATTTTATTATTTGTGTGTGCACACACACTCAAGTATATCTTTGTTTATGCTTGTGTGTGTGTTTGGATCCTAGAATAGGACTTTAGATCCTATGGAGCTGGAGTTAACAGCAGTTGTGAGCTGAGAGATGTAGGTGCTGGGAACCAAAATCCAGTCCTTTTAAGACCCACCAGGCCATCTCTCCATTCCCCTAAAGTCTATTCTCTTAAAAGATTAAAAAGACCCGTTTTGTAATTGTTTGTCCATGAGGGTGGTGTCAGAAGCTAGTATAGACCACTGGAGCATCTGAAGCTGGAGTTACAAACATTACTCTGAGTTGCCTGATGTGGGTGCTGGGAAACGAACTTGTGTCCTCTGAACAGTCACAAGAGCTCTTAACTGCTGGCCTGTCACTTCAGCCTCCAAAGTCTTTTGATAGTTAGGACTAAATACTATATATAATAAAGACGTGAAAGCTAGAATACTCCTAAATTTGGTGGTCATGCATGTAGACAAAAGACTGATTGTACGTACTATCCATATTTCATATACACAGAGAATATATAATCCATTTATAAACACTTCCTGTTATACGATATTTTATATGCTTATATGTTTAATTACACTCTTTCTTTATAGTGTCTTTAAAAAAGTGTTCAGTAGCCAGGCAGTGGTGGTGCATGTCTTTAATCCCAGCTCTCGGGAGGTGGATCTCTGAGGCAAGCCTGGTCTACAGAATGAGTTCCAGGGCAGCCAGGGCTGCTACACAGAGAACCCTGCCTCAAAAAGCCAGACTAAAAAAAGTGTTCCATAATAATATACCTAATGGAGCCAGCGGTAGTGGTGTGTACTTGGGGTCCCTGTGCTGGGAGATGGAGGTGGGAAGACCCATGAATTCAAGGTCATCCTCTCTAGTAGCTCAACCTGTATTGCTCAGATTTTAAGGAATATTTGCCAGCAACAAGTAGATTACATTCTTACACTTTTTGCTGGGAAAATCTTAGAATGGGAAGGCAGTTTTTGTTGTTGTGTTGTCTGTTCACTAGAGAGCTTACTGTGTAGGAGTGTACCTCTTGTGGAGCAGTCTAACAGAGTGAAGATGAGGTTTACAGATGGATTGGCCAGAAGAGTTGTGCTAAAAGAATCCTAATAGAATGACAAGGAAGGGTGATCAGCAGTGCACTGTGCTGGCGAAGAGGACACAGTGGCCAAGAGGCATTTGGGGTTTCTCCCAGAACCTGGATCAGGGTGTTGGCTCTGTGATGCCCCTAGACCTCTGTCCACAGAGGCTGGCTGCGGAACATCTGGTTTTCAGCTGGCACTTGAGATCAGTGAGGCGCTAGAGAGGAGCGAGGCTCGAGCAGCTTATGATCTGAGCTGACCTTTCTTTCCACGTGTTAGTGGCTGGTTGGTGGTTGAAGGTGCCTTGACTATGCAGTTCCTTACAAATGAGGGTTAATACTGTTTGACTATTTTGAATAATGCTTGAGATTCCATTTGTTTTTTTTTTTCCAAAGTAAAACTGACCAAATATAAGTAAAAAAAATGCGGAAAAACAAGTTTAACTACTCTAAATACAGTGAAAGAAAATGGAAATATTAAGGCTTGTATAAAGTCACATTAATGATCTAAATTTATAAAAAATGTATCAGTAGTGCCTTATTAACAAAAAATTAGATCACGAGTGAGGAAAAACCCAGTAATTAGTTGTAACTCACAGGTTAATGCATAGTGCTTGTTTTTGTGATGAGAACAGTGCAGATACAATATTCAATGTTTTATTTTAGTTCTTTTTATTAAGATATAAATATAGTTAGATTTTGGGTATCCAACAAATAAGAATCTAACATTAAGAAAAATAGCTTTATTTACATTTTATGTAAACTGTTTAAGAGTAATTATATGCTAGATGAAACTCCATTTTAAAATTAAGCCATTGTGTTATTAGAAGGTGGGTTTAACTTTTGTTATCTGTGTACTGGAGCTTTTACTGTTTAAAATGGTCTGTGTTTGATCCCCATCACCACAAGAACAAAATCAGAAACACACAAACAAGAAGAACACAGAAGACAAGTGCTTGTTTTAACAGGACCTGACACTTCAGCCAGCCTTTGAGTTCAGCAGCTATAACGAGTTAAAGTGAAACTCAAGCGTTCTCTTGGCTTTCTGTTTTGTCTTTCTTTGGCCTTTTCTTTCTTCCTATTTTATAATTTTCTTTATTATCTTCTCTGTCCTCCCACCCCCCATAATAGGGTTCAAACATACATGCTTGGTGAGCCCTCTTTATTCTGAGCCAAATCCTTTGCCTTTATATTCTTCTTTCATAGCTGTTACATTGGACTGCAAATTGTCACCTTTAGGAACGAGAATTCTCTCTGGAGTAAATTTGTAATATTCAGAGAAAAAGGCACACACATGCTAAGAACCACTAGTTTGCAAGGTCAGAGTGAAGAAATGTGTCTCACATCTAGACAACAAGAAAATATAAACACCGTGGGTTTTAGCATCTCCATTCTACTAGAAACCAATTGAAAAATCAGAAATAGATATTTTGTACAAATTATTTATATTCAAATATAATTTGTTTGGCATGAGCAGTAAGATAAAATTTTCCCTCAGTGCTAGTAACAGCTTTATTGAGAAAATAATTATTGATGTCTAGTGTGTATATGATACACTCTCATTAGAAGTTAATGTTTAAGAAAATGAATGAGACAAATCCTTACCTTATTTAGAGGTCTGCTTTTATTCAGTTGTGTTTTTAGTACACAACAAACAGGCTTCGAAAAATCAATAGATCACATTCTCAAATAATTGCACAAAAAGTGCTAGAAAAATGCAGTGTTATCCAGATATTAAGATTTTTTTTTTGAAAGTCTAGAATTTATTAGAACTGATTCAAGTGGTTCATTGTTCTCCTGGAAAAAGGAAAACAAATATGTGAGGCACACCCGTGCATAAATCAAATCCTATAGACAATGGAATGTTACTTGGCAGTGATCCATCTATTTAATGTAGCATTCAGTTTTCTGTAACTGGGATCTAATAAGAAAACGTGTCAGATTAATGTTAGGTGTTAAAATGCAAGACACTATCTTCAAGAAAATAAGGTATTCCAGGTAGTCATTTTTGCTCCTAGGTTCACATCTGTTCTAGGAGTCATACTTGCATATTGTTTCTATTTTTAGGCTGTTGCCAGGTGGATTTAAATTTTCTCCTCCTATGGTTGCCCAAGTTCTAACTTCCTGATTGGTTACATGGCCCTGCTTTCATTAGCCAACCACAGTGACTATGCAAATTGTATTTCAGTTTCTGTTTCTGTCAAAGAACTGATAGAATGACTGCAAGGGGCTCCTTTGGGGTATGTTTATTATTTCAAAGAGGGTTTTCATCATTACGTAGTAATATTGTAGATTTCTCTTAAAGGGGTATTTTATTTTTGAAATAGGAAATCACACTGTCCATGCAAGCTTCTTTAAGACTGAAAAATGCCTCTTGTCAGATTTGATTCTAATGGTGTTCTACTTTGATGCTTAGAATTGTGTAAGTGGTACATTTTATTACTTATGTGTAAGTATGTGAGCATGCCAGCTTAGTAGCTGCTAGAATGTTCTAGATTACTACCTTTGCTTTCTAAGAGAACAGATTTTTTTAATCTAATAATTACTATAGGTGTCAGTTTTATGTATGTAACATATTATTCTTTAGTCCGTATTTATTATATATCCCGAACACATATAGTATGTTTTCATTAAGGACACTCCATTTTTCATTATTTTGTGAATGGCTTCAGAAGCATATCATAACATTGACATATTTAAGATGTTTTATGATATCAAAGTTTTGGATTTATAAAATGTGCCTTATACTAGTGATTTGGTGATACATGCTAAAATGCTTCATTAAACATTATAAATGTAAGTATTAGAATTGAATAATGTTTATTTTTAAAACGATGCCTTTAAAATAATGGCAGAATAGTAACTGGTAGCATGATACTTATGAATACTGGTAAGATGTGATAAAGCCACAGGAAGTTAAGTAAATGCATCTCCTGAAACTTGCCAGGTTTAGTTATGTGTAAGGTTTTGATTAAGTTCAGAGAACATTTGTTTCATTTCAGACTTTCTGGTTGTCCTGGTAAAAGACCGTTGAATTGCATTTTCCATGAGTGAGACTGTTAGACCTCCATCCTCAGTGATGCTTGCTTTGTTTATAGTGGGGTAATACAGAGCACTGTTGTCTTGGGATAAACATGCTGTAGAATTGTGTCCTGTTTAGGAGAAGGAAAAGGAGGAGCAGGTTAGTTGAGGATGTAGAGAACAGTGTTGGCCCTAATTTACTTTTCTCAAAAGCAAAAATCACAGTGAATTCTTAAAGGATGAACTAACACTCATTTCCTTTGTAGGGTTTATTTATTTATTTATTGTACATGTGTGTTTTGCCTACATATATATCTGTGCACCCCACATGTGCCTGAAGAGGCTGTTACAGAAAATTGTGAGTCAGCATGGTGGTGGGTGCTGGGAATTGAGCCTGTGTCCTTTGGAAGAGTAACCAATGTTCTTAGCTACTGAGCCATCTCTCCACCACTGTTTTGTGTTTTTTTTAAATGTTAAAAGTATGATCCAATAAAAGGGATCAAGCTCAAGTTACAGAAAGATAATGGATTTTAAACAAAATAAAACATCATCTTGTTTTTAAGATAAAAATGTTAAAGTTTTGATTTAATATATACTAACTTGGATAAAGTCAGAGTGATGAGTTGTTTTTTCTGACTGGTGTGACTAATGGGCAGTCAACAGTGAGAAGGGTTGTTAGTATTTATTGTATAACACTGATTTTCTTTATAGCCCTGTTTTCATCAATAAATACTGCTAGTTCTCAAGCAGTGCAAGAGTCAGTGCTTTCAACTGAGAAATGAAGTTTTGTTTAGTTTATATTACATACTTATTTGTTTATTTGGTATGTGATTGTGGGTTCATGTGTGCCTTGCCGCATGAATAGAGGTCAGAGGACAACTTGGCAATTGTTCTCTCCTTCCACTCTGGGTCCCAGGGGCCCAATTGAGGTCATCAAGATCAGTGGCAAGCACCTTCCCTGGTGAGTTACTTTGATGTCCCCTGTCTTGGTGTTTTGTTTTGAGACATCTCTTTTTGTAGCCTTGGCTGTCCTGGAACTCACTGTCCTGGAACTCACAGGGCCTTACTTGTCTCTGTCTCCTGAGTGCTGGAATTAAAGATGTGTACTACCACACTGCCCAACTTGACTTTTGGGTTTTTTTTGGAGACAGTCTCTCAGCATCTTCCCTCCTCTGCCTAGTCATGTGATTACAGGCTGGAGCCATTATATCCAGGTTAGAAATGAGCTGCCCTTCTAAGGGGTTAGGGATGTGTGATAAAGACAACAGACGGGCAATAGTTAGAAATCATGGGTCATGAGAAAATGATGTCTAGGAGTCAGTCATTAGTATTCAGGCCTGTTGAGTTGATTTTTGTTAAGCTATCTAAGGAAAAAATTGAAGAAAACATATTTTCAGGGGCTGGAGAGAGAGATGGCTCAGTGGTTAAGAGCACTGGTTGTTCTTCCAGAGGTCCAGAGTTCAGTTCCCAGGAGCCTGCAACTCACACTCCAGGGTATCTGATGCCCTCTTCTGGCCTCTGACAGCACCCATACACTCGTCACATACACACAAATAAAAAAAGGAAAATAAATCCTAAAAAAAAATGCATGATTTTTTCAGCATCCGATTATTTGGAAAAGTATTAATAATGTTCTTAACAGCCTGGGCATGATTGAAGTGTTCCTCACAGGTGAGTGCTTCACTTATGTGATTTTGCTTCATGTTCTAAGTCTTTGTGTGAATTTTATTTTTTTTTTTGTATCCTTGATTAGATCATACTAGTTTGAATGTGATTCTGTATGTGGTTTGAATCAGTAATTTATGGCTGTTTTTAGAAGATGGTACATACTGTCTAGACTCTAGTTTAAATAAAATGGGGGAAAACACTCAAACAAAAACCAAGCAGCTGGCCGGGCGGTGGTGGCGCACGCCTTTAATCCCAGCACTCGGGAGGCAGAGCCAGGCGGATCTCTGTGAGTTCGAGGCCAGCCTGGGCTACCAAGTGAGTTCCAGGAAAGGCGCAAAGCTACACAGAGAAACCCTGTCTCAAAAAAAAAAAAAAAAAAAAAAAAAAAAACCAAGCAGCACTATAGACACCTGATATTCAGATAAAGCATTTGAGATTATAGGTGCAATGGGTTTCGATTTGATTGTTTCCTTTGATTTCACAGTGCCTGTATTTCTTAGTAGAACACTTGCCCTCATCTGCTTCCCTTGTTGCTGGGTAAGGTTTGGGATACTTTCCTCTGATTGGCTGTAGGCAGCTAAGGCTTTGAGCCAATCAGAGTGAACTTCGGTTCCCTCACAGGACTGAAGCACGGAAACAGCTGTTGATTTGTTTCTCTTGTGGGGAGATTATATAAACTAAAATTATGGCTGCTGCAGCAGGCTCCCTCTGGGGTATGTTGGAAAAATTACAAGAGTCACCTGTAATGAAGGGGGAAAATGATGATTAGTTTAAAATTTTGTTGACTAGGAAAAGCTGATAGTGAATTTGAAGGAAAAAGAAACTGATCACAGATTTTTTTTAATTAATAAAAAATCCTGTAGAATTACTTTATAATCCACACCTTTTATAGCTTCAAAAGTAGAGCTTGTGTGATCTTTTTGTAACTGCTGCGAAAGGCAATTCATTGTGCTTACTGTAGTAATTATATTTTTACCACTCAAATCACCAAGAAAAAGACATTTTGACTTTGTTATGTGAATTAAGCCGAGTCAGTTCTGTGCAGTGGACAACACAGCACTTGGTCATCCTGCCCATAGTCCGGAATACTGTTGAGGCTTGGCTTTGAGAGTGTCTAGTGGTAATGGTAGGTGAAATAGTATGAGAAAACATCTTAATTATTTGGATTTAATATTTTGGTGGGTTTTATTTATAAATGTCTTATAAATACAAAATTATTAATCTTCTAAAAGAAAATATGTTTGAATTTCACTGTGTAGAAAGGATATTTTTATGTGTTGTCCCTGTTTGACAGATTCCTCAGATAGGAAATTATATTTTAGAAACATTTATGACCGATACTAGAGCGCGACAAAGCTGTAGCATAAAATATGTAAATCTTATTCACTTGTGCTGTATATTTAATAGATATCATGGAATTAAGACATGAAATCTGTGTTCTAGATTATTATTTTAGACAAAGAACTACAATGCAGTATTTTAGATTGGGTTTTGTTAACTGTTTCTCTGACCTTATTGTCTGTCTTCTGTTGCTGGGCAGGAATCAGAATTCTGGCTGCTGATTGGCTGAGTTTGTATGTAGCTCTTGAACAGCCATTTAAATTCTTAAGTGTTTTGAGCAGGAAGATTATAAGCCAAGATAAAACAGCTTCCCTTTGTTTCATGGCTGTGATTTCTCATTAGAAAGAAAGTGAAGGAAGTGGGTGAAGGGGAGTGGAACACAGAAAAAATGTTTCGTTTAAAGAAGAGGCTCATTGGGCTTTCCTTAAAAAGAATTTATCAAAAAATTGAAAAAAATTTACAAGCCATAGAGAGACATATTTCCTGTAACACATTCCTCTAGTTATTTACATATAAATTTCTATAGAAAAATGTTCATAACATTTCTCCAGAATTCTTAGATCTGCATATGTAAAGTAAGGGCTTAAAACATTCTATTTTTAAACTCTTCTTTTTCATTAAAAAAGTACTTCCAGGAGAAACTGATTCATTGTATCATGTTGTTTCTAGATATGGCAGACATTTTCTACTATAAAATAGAAATGGTTTTTCTGTAAATGAGTTGAAGTGTGTGAACATTCTGTGACTAGTGTGGCTGCCATAAGAAGGAGCGTATATTTTATAGAGTCTGTACAGATGACAGTGTTTAAAATGGGCCTTAGGAATGAATACCTTTTGCTAATAGAGCCGTGGAGACTTGTTTGCAGCCTACACGCCCTTCTCTCATGTATATTTTTCCTACTGAGCTTTGCTTATGCAAAATAGATTCCTCAAAGCAGTTGCTGATTGGCTTGCACAGAAATGGCTGGACTAGTTTGAACTGGTTGTCCATGCTACTTACTGCTTTGTCTGTTTTTTGTTAGGCTTAGAGCTCTGAAAATCCTGTAAATGGCTGTAGTGTGCTCCCTTGTGGGTATGGAAGGTAGTTCCCTATTTTCTTCTGGCAGGTTTTTTGGTTAGTATTACTGAAGTTAATGGCTTTTTTGCTAAAACCAGCTTGACTTGGATTATATTTATTTTTATTAACTGTTACTTGGTGGTGACAGTTTAATATTAGTTGTTATTTACACTGGGTTTTCTAGTTCTCTCTCATTCATACACACACACACACACACACACACACACACACACACGTCAGTGTTGTTTAATTTGTCTCAGACTCTGAAAGTTATGCCTAGAAATACCCAGAGGAAATAGGCTAACAAGGATGATAATGTTGAGCACTTGGTACATTTGTATTGGTGAGGCATTGGTGGGGCCTCACTCTGGTGGAGCCTCACTCTGTAGCCAAGGTTGGAGAGGAGCTGACTGTAACTCAGGCTGCTCATCATCACTTGTGGTGATCCTCCTGCCTTGGCCTCCCAGATGCTAGGATTGCCGGTGTACTCCACTTTGCCTGGCTTACTTAATATGAATAATGTTATTAATTAGTCACATCATTTAATTCTCAGCCAAGCCTTTGTGTGGATAGACTTCCTT